TAAGTTACATTGTATTTACATTAGACATTATACTGGTTTATAATGTTTATGTTAAATCCGTGTTTAAATGTCTTATTTCAGTAAATCCATGTTTTTGTCTAATTTCGTGCGTAAATCCGGACTCCATGTTTTTGTTATTTGTTCTTTGTATAAAGAAAAATATGTTGTCATGCTCAAAATTCCTAAAACATTGAAACTCCAAAAACTGGTGTTAAAATAGCCGAATAGCCAAAACCACTTCAGCACTGATATTATTTGAATATTCCTTAAAAATACACAGTGACAGGCAGGAACCATTTTATCAATTTCCATTTACAAATTTTACGCTGAAAGTTTTTCATAACACTTAACCAAGATTGGTTAACAAAGGGCATTAACTGTGCATTGTTACCAATGGCAGGTAACTGAACACTTGTAGGGTGCAATTATTGGCGGCAGTGATAAATACTGAAACAATAAAATGAAACGTTATATATACTGAAATAATAAAATCATACATATAAATACTGAAATAATAAAACTTAAAAGTGACATTATGCCCATCCAAGTGAAAATGCAGTATAGGTCATATGGCCACATTCCAGTTTTATTTGTGGAGAAAAACCTCAGATGCCCTTTTGTGTATTATTTCAGGCAAGAACCGGCACCCGAGTAGAACCACCTATGTTCTGTAAGCTAGCTTGATAAATTCCTTATATGAAAGAATCTAAAGTCCCTGTAAGGAGCAACCTTAACCACTCAGCCACTGACACCCCTTTGTACACTATTATAATTACACAAACATATAGATATATAAAATGGAGCCGCGCCATGACAAAACCAACGTCTAGCAAGTCTGATCAGGATCCATGCTGTTCACTTACAAACCCTATAACAAGTAGAGAAACTGATAGCGAACAGCATGGATCCTGACCAGACTGCGCGGATGCGCAGGCTGGTCTGGATCCATGCTGGTCGCAAATGCATTATGTTGGTTTTGTCATGGCGCGGCTCAATTATAAAGATAGGTGTATACCGTTCTCTGCTCATCTCCTTCTCTCATTCTAAAGTTATGTTCAAACAAGGCATACATAACTCTACCTATACCAAACGACGGCTCTATCACAGATGGGTTAAAATCTTCAACTGTATAATAAAGTAAATATAGAGTTTATACAATAATGAAGAAACAGAAACAAGTCCTATAATACGATATGTACCTCAATGTAACCAAGCCAACATAATAATAGCATAACAATATTGTTACCAAGTAAAATGAATATTGTTTTAAAATAAGAAATAAGCACAATTATTTTATTAATGACAGCTTTTTTGTAAAACACAGCAAGGAATGTAACATAATTCTGCTAAGGGAATAAGACAAGCCTTTACACCCTTGTCTAAACAAAATATTCCTCCTTCACTTCATACCGTTTGGCTAGAGAAGTAGCAAGGTCAGTCTGCCTATTAAGGTAAGTTTCCAGCTTTATTAGTTTGACTTACAAGCAGGTACATGTGTATAGGGATGTCAAGTTTTTCCGTTTAAACAGTATGGTCGTGTTTTAGCTACAAACTGGTTAGAAAATTCAATAACTGGTAACAGAGGTTAGTATTTGACTAAGGGGGCGGAAAGTCTCAAAATTGATTCTAAATATTACCTTAGTTTTTTTTATGACAAGATATGACAATATAATGTTATATGATATAAACAATTGTTAGTATTTTAGTTGTACTCAACAATGTATTTTTTCCAATCTGATTAAATATGGTATGACCCTTGCGGAAAATATTCGCTCATTTTGAGTAAAACAAAATATGAACAAAATGGCATATATTGTCATAAAGAAACAAAGTTAATGTTGAAAAACTTAAGGATTTTATAAGTACGATCGGTTAAACGTTTAACACAGATCTTACTTCGCCGTTTAAACAATTAGCATTTTTCTAACCGCGACACCCTTATCTGTGTAGAACGACTTTTCCAGAAGCTTCTTGGATGAATTCTAAACATTCCTGTTGGGATTCAAACGCAAGCAATTAGTCTAGCCTTGAGTCTTAACCACTTGTTTCACAAAAACATATTCCTGATATACAAACTATCAATACTGGCATACAGAAGTGGTATATTTCTACGAGAAAAACAACTTACCATGAACTGTTTTTGAAAATTTATTGATTGTAACCATATCTGATTTCACAACAAACGATTGGTCATTTGGTTTGATTTCAAATTCCCTGTAAAAGAAACATAATTTAATACTTTGATATGTGATATCTTTGATAAAATGTTTAAAACTTAAAAGTTTTTTTAAGTCATATCCTGCATGATTAGCCTTTGGCATCAGTACAGTCCGACCACCCTACTACTGTTAGTAGCTCAATTTTAGTATTTTGTATTTGAAATCCCTTTAACTTTGAATGGACTGTCCCGAACTAAAAGCGGGTTAAATCATTATACAAATTGAGCAGATTAAAGATTAATTACGACTATGAAATTTAGAGACTTTTTCCAGATTACTTACCCTTTCTCCTTGAGTATTTTGTCCATGGCATCGAGCTCATTGTCTTCCATTCTAGTAATGAAGTCAGTCACAACCTTTGCATCTTTCTTAAACACTTTGCCCATCACACCTTTGTTCACTTTACATTCCACAACTTCTATTGTTTTGTGAGTTCAGTTAAGGATAATACAGTATATATGTTCATTATTGGAAATTCAAGGGGTGTCCATGACTTTGAACCACTTGCCCTTCACCACTGTGGGTTCGAATCCCGACAGGGACTTTGGATTCTTTCATGTAAGGAAGCTATCCAGCTAGCTTACTGAACGTCAGTGGCTCTACTCAGTGCCCCTTTGTGCCTGAAATAATGCACAGAAGGTGACCTGATGTCTTCCTCCACCAGTAAAGCTGGAAGGTCGCTCTAAAAAACTAATCTTATGTACTTGCAGTCTGGTCCCATTTTTAACATTTAATTTTGTTAAAATATGATACTATATGATATTTTTCTACATTTAATGCATGTATCAAATGCACAAATAGGACCGGACAAATAAAATTCTGTATGAACACTAGAGTGTTATTCAGAACAACATTGCTCATATTATACCACTTACTTTACCTTACTTTCACAGTCACTAGTGTATTAAGGTAAAAAGGATATGGGTTCGTCTAACTTTCTTTCTGCGACAAGTTTTAAACCTGTGGCTTTTTGGTGACACATCAAATCATAACAAGATCTGTCTGCACATCCAACACACTCGATCCAACCCTGTACAGAAAATAACAGAAGCATTAAATTATATTTCATATAGAAAGGATAAGTAAGAAGAAAATTACACGTCATTTCATATAAATAGGTTCTCAACATTTTAGTGACATAATAAATGATAATAAATGATTTTGGTTTTGAAATGCATATCCTATTAGCCTATATTAAGTTGTTAATGTAATTTTTTTTAAAAGTTCATATCCTAATAGATCAAACCTCAGTGGTTAAGAAAGCCTCAAAGTTTTTGCCAAGTCATTACTATGATTGCATCTCGACCCTAAAAAGAGCTCTTTTAGGGTCACAGCCTTGTTTCCTCATAATGACACCAGTACTGAAAATAATGAGATCCGAGACAGATTGCAGAAAAATGTTTTACAACCTGAAGGCCTGGTGTGACATAAAGAAACATGGCTGTGACCCCAGTAAGGCTTGTATCCAACATCCAAGAGTTGAGAGAGTCATTGACACCTCTCCTCACCATAAGCGTAGGAAAATTATCAAAACAATAATTTCAAACTATGAATTTGATTAGATGCAAACTTCACTGGGGACGGTAAATCATGCATAAGCCTAAAACACACTAAGTCAATTGATTCGAACCCATCACCAACCACACACCTGTTTTAAATGTATTTTTGGGACCTTTGAAAATGTCAATTTTTTTAACAACTTGTAGGCCTGGGGCTGGACCTAAATGGCCAAATAGTATATATATATATACTTATTTTTCACACTTACAAGAGTTCTACATTGACTAAACCCGTTAAAGGGTGGAAAAAATACACAAAAATTTCAAAAACTTACATAGGATGTCTTCAATTCAGTATCCCAGCAATCACAAGCATAGTGAGCCATTTCATTGGACAGATGCTGCCGGAATCGTAACTTTGTCTCGTCCACGCCAATCTTGATGAGGAACAAGTTGATGCGTGCCATAAAATATGCTAAAGTTTCATTTGCTATAGTACCCTGTAAAATACAACATATTCATAAGATCAATTCATGAAATTTAAATTGCACCTACACTGTGAAATAGAGAATAAACAGAATCCCTAAAGAATGCCAACAAGAGCGATCTGAAATCACATGTGTCGCCTCATGATGGCCAATTTAATGTTGGGACAAATTTTTGTGACAGACAGATGAACAGTGCACAACTAGACTTGGTACTGATCATTCCTGTCAAGTTTGGATAAAATTGCACCAGTAGTTTATGAGGAGTAGTCCGGACAAGCTTTTGCGTATCTGGCAACACACAGAAAAAAACACCTTTTTATCAAAGGGCCATTACTCGGCCAAAAATCATTCAACCAGAAAACCCGTGCAATATGCGCAAGGACTTAAGCTACAGATCAATCCTGTAAAGTTTCATTGAAATTGCATTAGTGATATAAGAGAAGTAGTCCGGACAAACTTTAAAAATAAAAATTATTAAAGGGCCATAACTCTGACAAAAATCATTGAACCGGAAAATGCTGACAATATGCACAACTGGACTTGGTACTGATCATTCCTGTAAAGTTTGGATGAAATTGCACCAGTAGTTTATGAGGAGTAGTCCGGACAAGCTTTTGCGTATCTGGCAACACACAGAAAAAAACACCTTTTTATCAAAAGGGCCATAACTCGGCCAAAAATCATTCAACCAGAAAACCCGTGCAATATGCGCAAGGACTTGAGCTACAGATCAATCATGTAAAGTTTCATTGAAATTGCATTAGTGGTATAAGAGAAGTAGTCCGGACAAACTTTAAAATTAAAAATTATTAAAGGGCCATAACTTTGACAAAAATCATTGAACTGGAAAATGCTGACAATATGCACAACTAGACTTGGTACTGATCATTCCTGTAAAGTTTGGATGAAATTGCACCAGTAGTTTATGAGGAGTAGTCTGGACAAGTTTTGTGACAGGCGGACGGACGGACAGACAGACGGACGTACAGACAGAGGACGGAGAAGTGATCCCTATATGTCGCCACTACTCCGTAGAGGCAACACAAAAATGGCAAAATTGAAAATGTTGCAGGCTTGTTTTCATTGAGTCTGTTCATGGATGTGCAAGTTACTGTTCACAGCCCCTTGCACTGAGTTAAGCAGAATAAACCATTTAAGCACGAAAATGGTGATTTGTTTGTTTGTTTCGGGTTTTACGTCACACCGACACAGTATAGGTCATTTGGCGATGTTCCAGCTTTACTGGTGGAGGAAGACCTCAGGTGCCCTTCCGTGCTTATTTCAGGCAAGAACGGGCACCTGAGTAGAACCACTGACGTTCCGTAAGCTAGCTGGATAGCTTCCTCACATGAAAGAATCCAAGGTCCCTGTGGGGATTTGAACCATCAGCATTGAGGGGCAAGTGGTTTGAAGTCAACGACCTTAACCACTCAGACGAGGACTTCCCTAAAACTAGAACTCCGCAAGTCGGATGTGTCGCCTTGTGAACAATATAGTTTAAGAGAAATGGCCAGGACAAAAATGAAATTTGAAAATCAACAAAGGGCAATAACTCAAAAAATAAGAAATGCAGATCAGCAGTTTCTGTGCACTGCACTTCTTATCAATAAGATCTATCATCCTATTAAGTTTCAAGTCTAAAGCTTTTATAATTTATGAGAAATGGCCTGGACAAAAATAAAGTATGAAAATTAACAAAGGGCAAAAACTCAAAAAATAAGAAATGCAGATCAGCAGTTTCTGTGCACTGCACTTCTTATCAATAAGATCTATCATCTTATTAAGTTCCAAGTCTAAAGCTTCTATATTTTATGAGAAATGGCCTGGACAAAAATAAAGTATGAAAATTAACAAAGGGCAATAACTCAAAAAATAAGAAATGCAGAGTACCAGTTTTTGTAAACCTCACTTCTTCTAAATGAGATCTATCATCCTATGAAGTTTCAAGTCCATAGCTTTTATACTTTAGGAGAAATGGCCTGGACAAAAATAAAGTATGAAAATTAACAAAGGGCAATTACTCAAAAAATAAGAAATGCAGAGTACCAGTTCTTGTGCACTGCACTTCTTCTTAATGAGATCTATCATCCTATGAAGTTTCAAGTCCGTAGATTTTATACTTAAGGAGAAATGGCCCGGACAAAAATAAAGTATGGAAATAAACAAAGGGCAATAACTCAAAAAATAAGAAGTGCAGAGTACGGGTTCTTGTGCACTGCACTTCGGATCATTATAAGAAGCATGCATACTAAGTTTGAAGTCAATTAGACTTATAATGACTGACTTATGCTCCGGACAAGCTTTAGGGGTCGCCGACACCGACGCCGACACCGACAACGACGCCGCCGACAAAAGTAACCCCTATATGTCGCCTTTTTCAAGGCGACACAAAAATGGTGAAATTTGAATTTAGGAACATCCGAGATGTGTTCATACGACCGTTATCAAGGAACACGCAGTGGGACACTTTGGTGCCATTCCATGACAAGTGGTGTATGGTCCCCAAGTAAAAGAATACTCAGTAAAGGTCATGTGCCACCTTAAAAAATTTGAGAAAAAATCTTGCAAATAAAAGACTCACGTCAGCAACAGCATCCTTGAGAGATTTGGCCTCCGGACCTTTACCATCCATCTGATTACAGGCAGAGAACAGCGTCAATTTGATATCCTTCACTGAATCAAATTTGAAGAATTTCTTTTTTTCTTGTGGATCGACAAAGTATTCAATTTCAGCCATGGTGAATTCTCTGAAAATAGTATAAGACATCTATAATAAAATTTGCTAGTAACCAGCTCATAACATAATTTTCTGCATAATGATGCAATTCTCTAACCTTATTTATTTATTTATTTATTCACTTATATTTCACAGGTTTTTTTTCCATGGATTTGGGAACATGACCCATAATCATGGAATTGGGAATTTCAGTGATTTTTTGTTAAAAAAAAAAATACTGGGGAAAAACCACAAAATACTAAAATTGAATTACCAACAGTAGAAGGCTAGTCAGACTCTCTACTGATGATAATAGCTAATCATGCAGGAAATGAGTTAAAAACATAAACATCTTAGAAAATATTTATCAAAGATATCACATATCAAAGTATTAAATAATGTTATTGTTTCTTTTACAGAGAATACGAAATCAAACCAAATGACCAATCGTTTGTTGTGAAATCAGATATGGTTACAATCAATAAATTTTCAAAAACAGTTCATGGTAAGTTGTTTTTCTCGTAGAAATTAAATTTTGCAGTAATTAAATGAATGCAAAGAATCACTGTCTAGGATGGCATATTTTAACATTTAAGCACCATTACAGTGAAAAAGCCCTTATTTTCAAAGATTTTAGAATTTGTTATTCAATATTTTTATCTTACAGCAGAAATATAAGAAAATAATTTTTACCTCACTCTGATTAAGCCAGATCTTGGTGAAATTTCATTTCTGAAGGCACTGCCAATTTGTGCTCCACCGAAGGGAAGTTTACCACCATTAAACTCCAATAACCTCTTAAAGTTGACAAATATACCCTGAGCTGTTTCTGGTCTCAAATAACTGAAATGAAATATACAGAAATACAAATAAAATGTACAAATTTAATTAAGGGCAACAGAGAATAATTATATATTTGCAACATGTTGATTTTTTAAATATTTTGTCTGCTTACCAGTGCATGCAGTTTAAAAGTCTGTGATGCTAGTTCATATAAATCCTTAATCATGATCTGCATTGTTTATTATTTAGTAAATTATGTACATATTTTGAAATTTTCCCTAAAAATGATGAATGGTTTTATCCAGATTATAAGAGTTGAAACTCTGTTCAATATTGGGTCAATGTTCAAGTAAAAATAGTTAGTTTGGAAACCGTTGACAGTGAATTATCAGAAATTTTGCACACAAGTTATTAGTACATGAAATGGAACCTTAAATTAAAAAAATTATTTCCAGTCCCATCATGTAAACAAGAGGGCCATGATGGCCCTGAGGTCGCTCACCTGTATATAGGCCCCCCCAACCCCCATCCCCCCCAAACGTTGCAGGGCCAATTTAACCAAAGGGCTTTTATTTGCACAAACTTGGTAGACACCCATAAGAAGATGTTTCATGCTAAACATCTAAGCTCTAGCTCATTGGGCTATTTAAAAGAAGATTTTTTTTAAAGTTTTTACTATACACATATAGTTAAAAACAATGACACCCCTGGGGCCGGGCCAGTTATGACCCCAGGGTTTTTATTTGAACAAACTTTGTAGACACTTACTAGAATATGTTTCATGCTTAATATCTAAACTCTAGCCATTTGGGTTTTTTCAAAGAAGATTTTAAGTTTTTGCTATACACATATTAGGAAAATCAACGACCCCGGGGCGGGGCCAATTTTGACCCCAGGTCTTTTATTTGAACAAACTTTGTAGACACTCACTAAAAGATGTTTCATGCTTAATATCTTAACTCTAGCTATTTGGGTTTTTTCAAAAAAGATTTTTTAAGTTTTTGCTATACACATATAAGGAAAATCAATGACCCCCGGGGCGGGGCCAATTTTGATCCCAGGGCTTTTATTTGAACAAACTTGGTAGACACCTATTAGAACATGTTTGATGCTAAATATCTTAACCATAGCTCTTTGAGTTCTTTAAAAGAAGATTTTTTAAGTTTTTACTATATGCACATATATGGAAAATCAATGACCCCCTGGGGCGGGGTCAATTTTGACCCCAGGGCTTTTATTTGAACAAACTTGGTAGACACTTATTAGAACATGTTTCATGCTAAATATCTTAGCTCTAACTCTTTTGGTTCTTTAAAAGAAGATTTTTTAAGTTTTTACTATATGCATATAGGGAAAATCAATGACCCCCTGGGGCGGGGCCAATTTTGACCCCAGGCCTTTTCTTTGAACAAACTTGGTAGACACCTATTAGAACATGTTTGATGCTCAATATCTTAGCCATAGCTCTTTGAGTTCTTTAAAAGAAGATTTTTTTAAGTTTTTACTATATGCATATAGGGAAAATCAATGACCCCCCGGGGCGGGGCCAATTTTGACCCCAGTGCTTTTATTTGAACAAACTTGGTAGACACTCACTAGAAGATGTTTCATGCCAAATATCTAAGCTCTAGCTCTTATGGTTTTTTAAAAGAAGATATTTAAAGTTTTTTTCTTTCGGTTGCCATGGCAACCAGAGTTCTGCATGGAATTAAATTCTTTGAACAATTTTTAAAGGTGACCACCAAAGGAACATTCCTGTGAAGTTTGGATGAAATTGGCCTTGTGGTTTATGAGGAGATGTCATTTAAAGTAAAAGTTTACGGACGCCGGACGCCGGACGAAAAGCGATCACAAAAGCTCACCCTGTCACTTTGTGACAGGTGAGCTAAAAAAAACATCAGTGGTGTCTCTTTAACAATATACACACCCTTTCAGTGTCCCTGTGGGTCCGATGGATGTTGCAAACATGAGATTAAATTCCATCGGGTCCGATATATCATTGCCAGTGACAGGTGATTTGATATTGAACTGTTTTAATGTTTTACCCATTTCATCTTTATCCATGTTGTCTATCTGTAAACAAAATATAACCATGATGAAGACTCGTGAGAGAGTCGAAACGTTGGTTATCATCGTTAAATAAAAACTTAAAACTTATCTTGTGTTGATTGTTTATTCCACTTGTATCATTTTTCTTAGTGTAAAAAATTATATATAACTTTTATATAATTCTTAGTCTTTTTCATTTTTTTTAGTTTCTTGTGAGTTCTATACCCTTAGAACTTGGAAATTAAATGGTGTTTTACTCAAAACTGGGAATTAATATGTCAGATTGGGTCACCAATACAACATAAAATTCCAAGCAGCACGCCTCCAGATTGATGCTAATTTTTATGAAAATTTTGGAAATGTATTTAAAAGTAAAATTTTGTGAGCCTGATTTCAACAAAAATGTAATTTACATATTGCAATCGGCACTTACAATCCAAGAAAATTACCAAAAAGTGGTCAACATATGCAGAAACAGCCCTTACTGCGTTAGTAACGTAGTAAAACTATGGTAATAAAATACTGCAAAATCAGTCTTAAACTGCACATAACATGTATATAGTATAATTTGGATCTTGAATGTTTTTACTTTTCTTAAAATTTTAGTACATTTTTCTCAATATTGATTTTCTTGAAATATTTTGGCTCATCTTGAGGCATACAGCTTTAAACATTTATGTTATTTCATTTCTAACAACACACACATTTACAATAATAACAACTATTAGTCCTATAATTTTTGTTTGAAGATTTTAGTCAAAGAATTGAAAAAATAATATTCTTATTATCTAATAGTTAAGATAAAACAATTGGCTAATCTTCAGAAAGTCATAAATATCTAATGAAATAAGAGCTGTTGACAGACAGAGTGCTCTACTTTTCTCTGCAAAACAAGAGCCTGGATAATGTAGAATTTTCTAAGTTTTAAAAAGGGTCAAAATCAATTTTACAGTCATGGACCTATGACAGTGACCTCCTATCATGCTGTCAAATAAATATGTGAAGTTTCAACACATTCTCTTCCATAGTTTGGGATACCAACTTGTACACAAAAACTTTAGTGTGACACCGAGTATTATGAATATAACAGCCTCCCCTATTCTTTGAATATTCAAGCTAAAAACTAATTATGTTTCAAACTAGACTTATCAAACTTACTGTTGGCAATATTTTCCGGATTTGTTCTTTTACTTCCGCTGTCACTTTTTTATCAGTTAACATCTTTTCAAATGAATCTGAAAAACAGATACTAATTTTAAATCTATCAAAATTCATTTAAAAACTAAAAACATTGAATTTCATGAAAACTGAAATACCAATATGACTTTTAAGATTTCATGAAACTGAGATTTCAGTTGGGTTTTTTCTAAAAAAAAAGAAAAGTGTTTTTACACTTATTGTGATATCATTTATTTTCATAAATAGCTGTTTTACATAATATTATTTTGTTGACGAAGGAGCACAATAAATGCTAAGATAGGAAGTGAAACCACTCATACTGGCTAATTAGAATCTAAATTCACAAGGTACCTGCTAGACTCTAAGAGTTACAGACCTTGGCCATTGCCATAAAAATATGATCTGGAATATCTTAAGAAAAGAGAAAATATGCACAATTCAATAAATACTTTACATGTTATATTTTTCTACTGCAAAACTAACACAATAACTTACTTTCAATGAGATGGTCTGCCCTGAAACATTCTCCATTCTTGACATCTTTCACCATATAGTCCTGGAACCTTTCAACATGACCAGATGCCCTGAAAAAAATAAAAAAAATAAAAGTGAAATCTGGTTGTAGAAATTGAAAAAGGCATGATAATATTTTGATTGTTTTTTTTTATTATTAAATCATTTGGTTGTTAAAATTTAATATACATTCAGGGCTGGCAAAATTAGATTTTAAAGGATTTCTCATATGATAATTTATAAAGTAAACTCTGGAAAAAAATCATTTGTCAATACCAGCTGCCTGACAATCTAGGCAATAGAGCCTTTTAATTTTGAACTGAGATGTAATTATTGTTGTACTCATGAACCAGCATGCTTTACATTTTTTCCTAAAATAAAGGCTACATGATTCATGATTTTTACTCCACGTTATCAATTTCAGGAAAACAATGATGAAAATTTAACAGTTAGCCAAAAGTAAAGACAGTAGACGTACACTGGCATAGCTCTTTACTGGTGGAAAAGGTTAAGATGGTGTTCTCATTTCAGCACGGTGAAGTTTTAAATCTTTAAACTTCATTTGTCAATCAAATTAATAAAATCAATTTGTATATCTTATTAAAACTTTCACTGTTACTTTTTTTACAACCACAGCTGTATTTAAATAATCAAAGGGAAATTGCCCGAGTGATTTCTAAACTTTACAGGAATTCAGATAGATTTGGTAGGACAGCATGCTAGACTATTTTCTGTTTAACAGTAAGAGCCTGGATAATTGAGATTTTTTAAGGTTGAAAAAGGGCCGTAATTCTGTCAAAATCAATGTATGAGTTGTGGGCCTTAGACGGTGACCTATAAGGTTTTCAAACAAGTATGTGAAGTTTCAACCCATTCATTTTGGGAATTTTGTAGATACCACCTTGCTGCAAAAGCTTAGACAAAATGAGACGCCAACGCCTTGGTGAGTACAATTACCCTCCCTATTTTTCAAATGGTCAAGCTGAAATGTTTTAAAAAAGCATTAATCAGATATCCAAAGACAGATACATCATCTTGTAGGCAAATGCATTGCCCTGCCAGCCAGGGTGAGTATATCCATCTTGCTGGCAACTAAAAGGTTATCCCACTTCTGTCTACTTACTTTAACACAACCTCAGGAGTAAGCATGGCTGTGTCCACCTCCAGTAAATTCTCCTCCAACACAAAGAAGTTTCTCCATGCCTGTAGCAGGTTAGCCTTCACAGCACAACCCATAGGACCAAAATCATACAGTCCATTCACACCTGATTAATAGAAAATTTGGTAATGTTACTCCCTGAAACATACCTTCACTTCATAATATTATAAGACTAAATATAAAGTAAAAGAACTAATAAGTTTTTTCATTGTAAGTTATTGCTGTACTTTTTTGTAAACATTTTAAAATAACATAATGCTAAGTTTGTGAAATGAAAATGTCTGGATTTAAACATTAAATAATGAGCTCCAGCCATTTTCAAACACCCCACAGCCATCTGATTAGCTCAATAGGTAGACTACTAGAGTGTATGACTGTGACCTGAGTTCAATTCCTGGACGCTTCAGGTCATTTTCGTAATGATTGATCATGTAATCCTTCTACAGTCTCTGCTCTGGCATGTACAGAAGTTTCAGTACCTTGCGGAAGTGAAAGCAACTAGCACAAGTTGGTAAACTGCTTGACAGCTTGCTCAGGAACGGTGCTGTGGCTGAACTGTGCTCTAGTAAATTCAATGTGGCTTACTGCAGTGATCCGGAGTGAAAACTACCAATACCACCACCACTATTCAAATACCAAATAAATATCAGTAAATATTCGTTACATTTTTGCAATTAAAATCACATACCTCCATAAATAGCAAATGACTGGTCGTAGAAAAATTTCTGTTTAAGTAGATCCTCCATCTTGCTTCTGTCAAAGTTGTCCTTTGGTGTCAACTCAATCTCCTGAATCATATAATAAGACTGTTATCATAGATAGTTATGTAAAACACAAAGAAATTTATTGTAATGTGCCTTTTATTGTACAATACAGTCAAACCTCGACAGAGCAGCCCTGTGCAGAATACTTACCACTTTACAAGTAACAAAAACATCTACCCAAAGTAATACTTCACTTTAAAGTTAACCACTTAAATAGAGCAACACCTCTCAGCTTCAAAATTGTGACTTATTATACATCTATAGGTATATAAAACATAGTCATTCTGATCCAATATTCTTCTGCCACCTGGCATTCTACCTTGAACATTTTATCTTTCTAAAGAACTTCTTCTACTATTACAACTGAGGACCTACCACATGCATATTAATTGTAACAATATCAGTGCAAGCACTGAAACAAACTAGCCATCATGACAGCTTAAACAAGGTTTTCAGCACACCTGACAAAAATCAAACATGGAAACTTTCAATTTCTAAGTCTGGTTGTACAAACCTTATGTTCCAAGGCATGTTTTCTCGTTTTCAGCTCAGCAACAGCTCTCTGTAGATCAATATCAGGGGCCTTATCTGCCTTCAGCTGACGAACAATGTCACCCTGTATAATAAAAAATTGATGTTTTATTGTTGTTCATTTGCATATTAAAAGATTATATATTGTTTAATTGGGATAAATTAATAAATGTGCAAAGCATTTGGATAAACCATTACAAGCCTGTCAGCACTGTCTACATGTACGGTATATATATAAATAAGACACATGGTGTCGGATTCCTGGCACATTACGACTGACTGAAGCGTACTTGCCCTGTTTAAATATAAAACAAGTACTACTAGAAAGGAAATCAAATAAAAACAATTTATAAGAAATAATGTAGATTTTTATACCTATAAGTGAAATTTTCAAAGTCATATCTATTTGGCTTCGCCATTTTCAATGTAACACAATGATAATAGGCATTACTATAACGGAACAATCGCAACTTATCAGCTTCATTATAATATAATTATAATTGTTGAGGTGTGCCGAGTAAAAACGGAAGCAGTGCATGAAATACCGGATGACACCTTTATAGCTAGCTCGACGAGCTGGCCCGAAGGGCCTGCTCGCAAAGCAAGCTTTACGGTAACGCCTGTACCTGCTAAGTGATGGTTTTGAAGTACCGAATTGGACACATCGCAACTTTTCGAATTTAAAGATAACGATAAAAACTGAGGAATTCTGACTGAAAACGGATGTGTAGACTGGTCACCCGCGCACGTCTATGGGAACCATAATTGGACAGGGAACCAGAATAACGGAAGCTGTGTATAAAATATCGAATGACAGTTTTAAAACGGAAAATGTAAAATGAAAATTGAAGGCGCCATTTTGTTTGAAAAATCTGATAAATAAAAACAATTTTTTGTCGAATTTTGTTGTGAAAACTATCTAGAATGAAAGAAAATGGTCTAACTAAGAAAATGAATCCGAACACCAATATCTTTTATTCAGTCGTTAACGCTGTACAGACGTTTAAAGTATTGTTTACGTGACGTCACAATGTAGCGCCAAACAGCACGTGCAAAACAATCAAATCAAGTACGCTATTTTAATGTCGCAAACGTTTTAAGTTTTACATTTATTTCACTTTTAATAATCTTTATTTCGCTTGAAAAATTATAGAGTGAAATAAAATAAACAAACAAAGTTTTATCAAAACTCGTTATTCATTTAACGACAGGGGTGGAGCCATATTTAACACAGTACGTGTGACGTCACATGCACTCGTCACTGCATTTGAAATAAAAATGAGCAATTATTGCATACTATTTCACGTTAAAAGTACATCGAGCTCGCTTTGAGGCTTTGCCTTTTTCATATTAACAGAAAATGTAAGACACAGGGGTCTATTGCTGGAGATTGCTCTTTTTGTGGGCAACATGAGAAGAATTACATACATGTTTGATTCAACATTTCATAACTTTAAAACTACAGATCAGTGGCTAAGAAATCATACAATTTTCAAACCCAATACTCTAAGCAATTGCAATATAGAATACTAAAATAGAATCTGGTATACCTGTTCCTTCACAGCTTGTCTAAAGGGAGCAAGCTGTTCTTCAATTTTTGGATCCATAACGTCTATTTCTTTCAATACAAAATGTTTCTGCTTCTTGGATCCCCACCCAGAGACTGTCTTTGATAAGGAGACAGTAGAAGAAATGGATCTATACAAATGTTCTGTGACAATGCAAGATTGTGTAATTCGCCTGCACAGCTGTTTGATCACAACTTGCATCAGCTTTGACATCTGCCACGGAAGCCGGTTTATGCCGCTAATCGAAAGGAACAGCAAGGTGTTACTACGGTTCCGAAAATAGTATACCATACAAAAGTTACAAAGATCAAGTGTGAAGGTAATTTTATATATTTTAAAGATTTATTCTTAGCTATAGTCGATAATATTATTATCTAATTCATTTAATTGCGATTTTTATTGTCATTTTTTTCATCAAATCCGAATTCCTATCAGTTTTGGTAAATTGGCTTATGGGTAAAATCCAATATGTCTGCGCCCATGGTAAACAACATGAGAGTTCAACAATTTTATTTTTTACTATTTTTAGACATTTGAATTACTACTGATATTTGTTAATATGTTAGGGCAATGTAGATATTCTTATTCCGTACTGAAATATTGTAAACAGAAACTGACATTCTTGCAAACGTTACATAATTCTAGAAAAACGCAAATTTCTTTCTGTTCAACAAGATGCACAACTGGTAGAAGAGTGCTAGGAATAGAGACAAGCTGTGATGATACTGGCGCTGCAGTAGTAGACGAATATGGAAATATCCTTGGAAATGCGCTTCAATCTCAAACCCAGGAGACTGTTGCGTAAGAACATATTTATACACAAATCTTCCACCTTGAATTTAAATAGCTGTTTTTTATACACCAATTGACAGTTTCCTAACTAGTAACTAGCAGACGACAGGCTATTCTTATCAGTAGAATTGCGAGTAAATATAACTGGTTGCGTATCTTACTGTATAAAACACATGTCAAATGGTCTGACTCGTGGTAGGTTAAACCGTAAATTTAAATAACTTTAGTATATATAATATGAAAAAGGCAAAGCCTCAAAGCGAGCTCGATTTTTCTTTTACCTTGAAATAGTTTAAAATAATTGTTCAAATTTATTTTACATTTTCCGTTTTAAAATTGTCATTCGATATTTTATAGGCCTACACTGCTTCCGTTTATTCTGGTTCACTAACAAAGTTCTATGCTCCTGCGTTTATGAATAAATTATGCAAATGAGCCACGTTGAGCCGCCATGTTGGAGTTTCGGTTAGCGTGTTGGAAATTACTACCTGTTCGTTTTGAAAGCTCGTCCTAACTTACAGTTTCCTTGAATGTAGGAAAACTTGGTTTTGTTTGATTGCATACTGAATAATAGGTATTACAAAATGAATATAATGAAAATCGATCAATCAATAATTGTATACGAGCCTTATAAAGTCAATTTAATTCGTCAGAATAACAAGATTCTGTTGCAGGGTATCGGTAAAAGACTGCTTTTTTCCCGTTTTTGAAATTTATTTGAACACAGAGACAATTTTTCTCAAACAGGTTTATGAATATACTTTACGTTGCAAAAGAGTTTACCGTGTGTCCATTCCTTATTTAAATTGTCTAAGAAGTTAAATCTGTTTGTTTACATGTAAATGTGTACGGTCAAAATGACAGACTGGAATAAAAACTATTATGACGGTGATAATACCAGATATGTAATGAAAATTACGCCGTGTAGTGCAAAGTTTTCGACATTGCAATTAAAATTAACGCTTACGTTGATTCAAACTTTTCCTTGTCAGCAAAATTGAAACCGAAAGTAGTGGTTGTTCTAGAATTAAATCGAATAAAATGGGTGGGATTTAACCACCGCGCATGCCCTGTGCGAACGTATTGTTTACATCCGGTCGTAGCATAGGGTTAGAGTGCAAACTTTGTTAGTGTGGTTCCCTTTCCTATTATCATTTCCATATAAGTGCGCAAGACACCAGTCTACGCTTCAGTTTTCAATCAGAATACCTCGGCTTTTATTGATATATTGTAATTCGAAAAGTTGCGATGTGTCAATTTGGTACGTCGGACGAAAGTTTTCAAAACCATCATATTTAGCAGGTACTCCCGATACCGTAAAGCTCGCTGTGCAAGCAGGCCCTTTGGGCCAGCTTTTCGAGCTCACTGTTAAACAATGTGTTGAAATGTATACTGAAACGAAGCTAAGATCACAAGCTTTTCATTGGTGTAATATTTTTTAAAATTGGACATTAAATCGCCTCTGACTAGTGGTTTAAAAATGGCTAAATTAGCATTGTTTTAGCATTAGAGATATTGATTTTACTCAAAGATAAGGGAAACAACTTGTATTTTTTCACTCGATATACCTCAGTTATTTACGTAGTTCATATATATACTTTCAATGGGTGTATTGTGATTGACAGATATATACCAATGCTGTCATTGTATGCAATTTCAACTTCTCCTTAACCATATATTAAATGCTCACTAAGTCTTATGTTTTTGTGTCATAAGCTAAGACAAATGTGCAGCCTCAAACAGGGTCTTGAATCTGGGACACTCAGAATGCTGTACTGTGGTTTTACCAACTGACCTATTTGGCTGCTTACACATTATCTCACCTGATAATTGAACATTTCAATACCATGACATACTCCCCCAATATCTTGAAATTCGTCCTCTAATTCCTAATGGGTACAGAGAACAATGTGAAATTGGATTCTTGAGCTTTATTCTTTCACTGTCCCTGTTTGCAGCACCATATGTCATAGGATGGGAAAAATGTGCAGCCTAACTGGGAATTGAACTTGGGACCCTCAGACTACTGTATCACTGACTGAGCAATCCAGTTGCTCAGCTGACATAAAATCTTCCCTAATTGGCTAACAGTCCAATACTGTGATAGTTGGGCACATAGTATTACAAGTATTACATGATGTAGATCCATTATTTGCAAGTGCAATTGTTATAATGCCTGTGTGTGGCAGTTAACCTTATGATTTAACCTTATAACAGGGCCTCCATGTTTACATGGTTAAGGTCACTGACTTTAAATCATTTACCCCTGACCTCACCTCTGTACGTATTGCCAGGGACCATGACTTTTTTCATTTTAGAAAGCTATCCACTAGGCTTATGGAAAGTTGGTAGTTCTACACAATCACAGGTGGTTGTTTGTTGTTGAAATAATGCAATATGAGCATCTGAATATTTTCACCACAAGTGATCTTTATAGTGCTGTTGTAACTTGAAATCTAAGTATATGCTAGTGTTCATCCGTGCTGTTCTACAGAAATTAGAAACTTTGCATAAGCAATAGCGACAGGAGAATGTTTCTAATTTCTGTAGAACAGCATGGATGAATACTAACATATTTAGTGTCAAGCTTTATTTGGCCTCATTATTATTCACTTTATTACGTCACTATGGGGTTCTATGAAGTACTATGAAATATAGAAGTCGACTATGGACGGAATTCGATATAGTATCAACTTTTGTACTTCTATGAAAATTAACGCACAGAATTTTGAAGGAATACAGCGTTTTCATTGGATGACAAATAAAGTTGGACACTAAAGTAATTATATAATTCAAAATGGGACTACAAAATTAATGTAACTTACCATATAATATTTGTTTGATTCAGGGTAGGCGGTGTTATTCCATTTCATGCTCGAGACCAGCACAAAGCTCATATTGAAGATGTAGTGGAACAAGCTTTAAAAGAAGCTAATGTAACAGTGAAGGTAAAAATAAATTCATTCTTTGAATTTTTTTGTAAAATAATAAATTTTTCAGTTGCTTGAACACTGTATTTAATTATCAGTGGTCTGTTAGATATAAAACCACGAAAACCTACTTTCTTTTGGTTTTCAATAATAAAATATGTTTGCTTAATACCAAGATGATGTTTTACTGTGTTTTCCACAAAATATTTCATTTGATGTTTGTCTTTTGATATATCGATACAAAATGTTCCATCAATGAAAGCCCTACTAAATTTGCTGGCTAAACTTTATCTACTGGTAGTAATAATGTTGAAAAAATTGCTAAATGGCATACAATCGTATAAAACACTACCCTTCTAAGTTAAAAAAGAGTTCTTATTTCTTGCCATATAGTGTATATTACTCATTTAAGGACCTTGATGCAGTAGCTGTTACTGTGAAACCAGGAATCAGTATGTGTCTTAATGTTGGTCTTTCTTATGCCAAGAAACTAGTTCAAGAACACAGGTAAGACAGACACTTAACCCTTAACATGCCATATTTGTGTATTGCTTTTTAGTTTTAAACAGTCCATTAATGTTTCAGGAATTTTGATATTAGATTACAAATATTGAGGGGGCATCCATGCCCTAGTGGTTAAGGTCATTGACTTCAAACCACTTGCCCCTCACTACTGTGGGTTCAAATCCTAATAAGGACTGTGAGGAAGCTATCCAGCTAGCTTACGGAACGTCTGTGGCTCTACTCGGGGGACTGTTTGTGCCTGAAATAATTCACGGAAATGGTCTTCCTCCAGCAATAAAGCTAGAACGTCGCTGTATGACCTATACTGTGTTGGTGTGACGTAAAACCCAATAACAAATATTGAGTTTAGAACAAACTATTTACAGTGTATAGGGATTTCTGTGTCAGAATACAATAATTGAGCTGCCAAAAGTATAGAGCCTGGTCAGACTGGACAAGTCCTGTCAGGTTAAAGGGTAACTGATATAGGCTTGTTTGACATGTAACATCATGACACAGTACATGTTTTTGTTGAAATACTTTTACATAGGCATTATTATTATCAGTATGATCTTCCTTCCATATTTTTCACACAGTGACTTACTGTTTATCATGATGCCTTTAAATTTTGACTGTCAATTGACTCACAAATGATGAGGCTATACATTTATTTTCCTTGATTTTTTTCTTAGTTTTCAGCTTAAATAACACATTTCAAAGCATTTTAGCTTACATTTAAACATTTTTAATATTTTACCATTTTAGATCTTTTATAATAAATACGTACTTGGTAGCTTACAAAATGTATTTGAAGAAACACTTTTGAGTCAACTTGCACACCCTATGTTAACAGAACATAACATGTAGTCATATACAGCTATAGATACAAAAATTTACTTACATAATTATTTCTTCTATTTTTGAATTTTTCTATTTCAGGGTTCCAATGATTCCAATTCACCACATGGAAGCTCATGCCCTCACTGCGCGGATGATTGAACAGTATGTATCATATTACATTATTCTCTCCCTTTACTTGTCGCCAAGTGGCTGTCCGGCAATATATATTTGTTTTTGTCAGAATTTTATATGACACTAACTCTGTAAAGTTAATCATGATGACATTCCAGCTGTACTTATGGAAGAACACCTCAGGTGTCCCTTTACACATTATTTCAGGCACAAAAAAATGAATACCTGAGTAGGTACACTGAAGCTCTGTAAGTGAGCTGGATATGGATAGCTTTCCCCGATATGAAAGAATTTTAGGTCCCTGATGGGAATCGAAATAAAAGCCATCATTGAGGCCCAAACATATACATGTAGTAATGAGACACAAGTAAATCAACAAATTTGACTTTTTTGGTACAACTGTAAACTATTTTTTCGCAAAAAAAAAATTATTTTCATTCTTACAAAGACAATGGAAATTCCTATGAAATGATGAAATGAATTTCATAAATTCATGTTTTTTCTTACTGGGATATTGCCATATTTTTTTCGCATTTCACCAGGGCCATAATATCGTTTTATACAAGTTTTACTCCTGAAAATACATCTATATAAAGACATCTAATCCAGGAGATTGCCTCACAAAGAAGGGTATTCAGTCATTGTCTTGTTAGTAAATACATTGTACATGGTACTGTTTGTAGACATCAAAAGGGTTAATAGTGGAAAGTTCCAATAGTGGTAAGTTTCGTTGAGTAAAATATATTTTTCCTATGCTTTTACATAATGATAATTACAGGAAGAGCAAAAACTGCTTAACTATGTTATTTAAAAATTGTAATTGTTCCTTTTCAGAATAGATTTTCCATTTTTAGTCTTGTTGGTGAGTGGCGGTCACTGTTTACTTGCAGTTGCTAAGGACATTGACAAGTTCTTGTTGCTAGGGACCGCGTTAGATTCCTCACCTGGGGAAGCTTTTGATAAGGTTAGTTGTATCAGTGTAACTGTTAGTGTATGTGTGTTTTTAATGCTCCCCGAAAAATTTCGGGGAGCATATAGTCGCCGCCTTGTCTGTCCGTCCGTCCTTCCGTCCGTCCCCTTTTCTTGTCCGGGACATAACTTTGAAACAACAAGAGGTATCCCCTTTTCTTGTCCGGGACATAACTTTGAAACAACAAGAGGTATCAACATGAAACTTTGTAGGTAGATAGATCTCATTGAGTAGGTGTGCAGTGCACAAGAACCGTAACTCTGCCTTGCCTAATTTTTGAATTATTGCCCTTTGTTTATTTTTATACTTTGAACTTTGTCCGGGACGTAACTCTTAATGTATAAGAGATATCAACATGAAACTTTGTAGGTAGATAGATCTCATTAAGTAGGTGTGCAGTGCATAAGAACCGTAACTCTGCCTTGCCTAATTTTTGAATTATCCCCCTTTGTTTATTTTACACTTTGAAATTTGTCCGGGACATAACTCTTAAAGTATGAGAGGTATCAACATGAAACTTTGTAGGTAGATAGATCTCATTGAGTAGATGTGCAGTGCACAAGAACCGTAACTCTGCCTTGCCTAATTTTTTAATTATCCCCCTTTGTTTATTTTACACTTTGAACTTTGTCTGGGACATAACTCTTAAAGTATAAAAGGTATCAACATGAAACTTTGTAGGTAGATAGATCTCATTAAGTAGGTGTGCAGTGCATAAGAACCGTAACTCTGCCTTGCCTAATTTTTGAAATATCCCCCTTTGTTTATTTTACACTTTGAAATTTGTCCGGGACATAACTCTTAAAGTATGAGAGGTATCAACATGAAACTTTGTAGGTAGATAGATCTCATTGAGTAGATGTGCAGTGCACAAGAACCGTAACTCTGCCTTGCCTAATTTTTTAATTATCCCCCTTTGTTTATTTTACACTTTGAACTTTGTTCGGGACATAACTCTTAAAGTATAAAAGGTATCAACATGAAACTTTGTAGGTAGATAGATCTCTTTGAGTAGGTGTGCAGTTCACAAAAACCGTAACTCTGCCTTGCCTAATTTTTGAATTATCCCCCTTTGTTAATTTTACTCTTTGAACTTTGTGCGGGACATAACTCTAATACTATAATAGGTATCAACATGAAACTTTGTAGGTAGATAGATCTCATTGAGTAGGTGTGCAGTAAACAAGAACCTTAACTCTGCCTTGCCTTATTTTTGAATTATCCCCCTTTGTTTATTTTTACACTTTGAACTTTGTCCAGGACATAACTCTAAATGTATAAGAGATATCAACATGAAACTTTGTAGGTAGATAGATCTCATTGAGTCAGTTTGCAGTGCACAAGAACTGTAACACTGCCTTGCTTACTTTTGGAGTTATTGCCCTTTGTTCATTTTGACACTTTGAACTTTGTACAGGTCATTACTCTAAAATTATAAGAGATATCAACATGAAACTTTGTAGATAGATAGGTCTCATTGGGTAGAAGTGCAATGCTTAAAAATCATTACTCTGCCTTGCCTTATTCTGAAGTAATTGCCCTTTGTTTATTTTTACTTTTTGACTTTTGTCTGGGACATAACTTTAAAACTATTGGAGATATCAACTTGAAACTTTGTAGGTAGGTAGATATAATTGGATAGAACTGTAATACTTAAAGAACCTAAACAAAGCCTGGTCTAATTTTGGGGTTATTGCCCTTTGTTCATTTCTTACACTTTGAATTTTACCCGGGTCATAACTCTGATGTCATCAGGAAACTTTATAAGTAAGTAAGTAAGTATAGATAGATAGATCTCATTGAATAGAAGTGCAGTGCAAAAAAACATAACTCGGCTTTGCCTAATTTTGGATTTTTTGCCCTTTGTTCAATTTTTTTTACTTTCCTGTGTCCAGAACCTTCTCGGGGAGCATCACCCGGTTCAACCAGTTCTTGTTTTTCTCTGACCCTTTTTGGCGCGGGCCAAGTTTCGGTCAAATTTGGAAATGCTTCAGTAGTAAGAGCGGGTAGATTGGAAAAGAAAACAAGTGGCAACAACAGTCATATTGTTGTTTTTGGTAGAGTAATTTGAAATAATTTGGAAGTAAATAAGCATATTAATGTAGGTTCTCTTACAATACTACAAAACTGAAATATCTTTACTCACAAAATAAGTTAACAAAGTTACAACATAGCAATGTCCTTACAGGTTGCAAGGAGAATGAAGTTGAAGAATTTACCAGAATGTTATAACATGAGTGGCGGGGCTATGGTAGAGCACATTGCAAAACAAGGCGACATAGAGAAATTCCCGCCGCTCGAGATATTATCTGGCAATAGAAGCTGTAACTTCTCTTTCTCCGGAATGAAAACTTATTACATGAGGTTGATTGAAAAGGAAGAAAAGGAACAAGGTAAGGTTATAGAAATGAGATTATTTCAGGTGCTTTTCTTAACCTTTTCACTTGCTAAATTTGTGTTATGGATTTGCCCTGTTTTGAATTAGGAACAGTCCATTCAAATGTTAAGGGATTTTAGTGTGTTAAAATACAAAAATTTAGTTTCTAACAGTATAAAGTATTTTCAGGCTGCATTGATGGCTCTATGCAGTTTCAGTTTAACACCATATCCATTCTGCAAAATTATGCAAGAACAAAATGGACTTGACCTATTTTGAATTGGTAACTGTCCATTGTTGTCCGCTGCTGATGAAATTAGAAGAGAGATACTGAAATGGCGTTGTGCATAAGTTCGTCTGGATCCATATAATTGTTCTATCCGATTTTCTTAAAACTTTGGCAAGAATGTTTACAATATATATGAATTGGAATCTTAGTTGGATTCAAACATTCAGTTAAATATGTATGAGAGGCAATTGACTCAAGTTAAAAACCTCAATTACTAAAGAAGCAATGTGCTGTTTAAATGCTGAAAACAAAATGATGCATTGAGCTTACAAGAAAATGAAGACTTGGTTAGAAAGAATGAAAGAAATGTAAGGGTTGGATTCTTTCATGTGTGGAAGAAATTTAATGTTGAGGTGTTGGTGTTACTACTCAGGTGCCCACTTGTGCCTGAAATAATGCACAGAAGGCTACCATGCAAAGGTCTGCCTCAACCATTAAAGCCAAAGTCATCTTACGACCTTTAAAATGTTGGTGTATGCATAACTTTAACCCCCACCCCCCCCCCCCATAAACTAGCAGGATATAGAATGGTTGTAATAATCATGTAGATTCATTATTTTCAGAGATAGTTGCCAGTAATGTGATATCAAACGCCGGTGATGTGTGCGCATCTTTCCAGTATTCTTTGGTTCGGCACCTGGCCAAACCTTTGCATAGGGCATTCTTATTTAGTGAAATGAGAGAACTGTTACCAGAGGATGGGAAAACTTTGGTAAGATTTTTTTTTATATACATCTACATAAAATTGCGTCTACATAAAATTGCGTCATTAGGTCATCCTGTTTGCAGTTACCGTATCCAAAGTTTTAACACTTCTAATGCAAGTAGAAAGGCATTATGAACAGTCAATTTTCGTAAAATGAAATGAGCAAAATAATTTTTGATTGGTTTTCTAAACATATTGTCAGCTTTTTATGGTCAAAATCATTAAAAAAAAGGTTTTATTGTACATGTATAATGTATGTCAAAAGCTTAGAAAAAGGAATTTATTTTTCCACAACTGCATTTTAAAAAGATATTTTCAGTAGCATTTTATAGCATACTGCCTAGTACATATTGTCATTTATATTCAACAAGTGTTTGCATCACATGTGGTGCCTGTGTTATCTTTTAATTATATAAGGTGGTTTTACTGTAATGCTTTCCTGCCAAGAAATTCCATCATTGGCCAATATCGTAGCAAATCAGTTATTTCCAAAAACGCTATTTTTTCAAAATCTCGGACATAAAGATTACTTACAATCACTTATCTTTTATAGCTATATACTAAATTCCAGTTATAAATGGTAAAAAATTTATTGAATACCAAAGATTGGGAAAAATAGCTTTCCAGAAATGACCGATTTATTACGATATGATATTGACCAATGTTAGAATTTTTTTGGCGGGACAGCATTACAGTATGACTACCTTAGTAATAATATAATATCATTGTATTGAATTGAAACTGTCCTGTGCTATGTAAACTGGTTTCTATGTAAAACAGCTTAAATTGAGCAACAGTCAGTATAGGGTCTAGCCTGACTGCTTGGTTGCTCAGGCTGGCTGGGCTTCAAACAGGTTATGTGGGTGAGAGGTGACATTATCTTTGCAAACTTGATAAATTTTCTTGTGGAGTTCAACAATATAAAGCTATTCATGATTTTCATTTTACAATAGAAAAAAACTAGAAACATTTTCTTGCAGAGAGTTCAATAATATGGAACTATTATATGAATTCTGATTTTCATTTCACAATGAAAGTGAGAGAAATTTTAATTCCTCGATACGCAGGTGGTCTCTGGTGGCGTTGCCTGTAACCAGTACATTCAACAAGGACTGAAGAAAGTATGTGAGAAGTACGACTGTAGACTGGTGTGTCCACCACCTCACCTGTGTACAGATAATGGAATCATGATAGCTTGGTAACAATACTTTCAGTTGTTTTTTTTTTAGGAGGGGGGACGGAATGGGTTGGGGTTTTTGCTGGGTTTACAATTCCCACCAACTCAGTATATACTTAGTCATATGGTGATGTTCCAGCTTTACTCGCGGAGGAAAGGAAGACCTCAGGTGTTCTTCCATACATTATTTCAAGCACAAACGGGTACCTGAGTAGGACCTACTTTGTTTTGTACTTTCAAACTAGGGACATACAATAAGCAGAAATAATATTATGTTTCAGGTCAAACTTACTTATTTATCAATATTAACGCTCTCCATAAAAAAAGTTGATTAGTCTAAGAGTTATAGAAATGTAAGTCTTTTCTGACTCATTAGAAGAAATACATGTGCATGTTATTTAGAAAAATCTTTATTAATAAATTAGTGTCACTTTACATACATGTATCGTATCTCTAAATAAGAGCTTTAATTTGATGCGTTGTCATTTGATCCTGACTGCCTGTTTTGTTTAATTGAGTTTTTACGCCACACCGACACATTATAGGTCATATGGCAACGTTCCAGCTTTACTGGTGGAGGAAGACCTCAGGTGCCGTTCTGTACATTATTTCAGGCACAAACAGACACCTGAGTAGAACCACCGACGTTCTGTAAGCTAGCTGGATAGCTTCCTCACATGAAAGAATCCAAAGCCTGGATTCGAACCCACAGCTGTGAGGGTCAAGTGGTTTGAAGTCAACTACCTTAGACGCCCCATTTCTCGACTGCCTAATCAGAATCAAAATTCACGAAACATTACAACTCTAAATTAGAGCTTTATTTTGATCAACATTTGATCTTGACTTCATAATCAGTATCTAATTTCACAAAGTTTTACCATTACTATGTGCAATATTATCAGATATGAGATTAGGTATTTGCATATAACGTTAACCATTTGAATATTTATTTCAGGAACGGTATTGAAAAATTAAAGGCAGGAAGAGGTTTTGCTGAGGATCCGCAGTCTCAGAGGTTCATTCCAAAGTAAGTCATTTCCTGAATAAAAGAACATGTTCTTGTTTAATCAAGTTTTAGGTAATTATTGGCCTGGCGCCTGGCATAGTGGTAGAAATTGAGTGGTACATGGTGTCTCATAAGTCAAAAATGGCTGGCCCTTTCAGTAGGGGTGACACTATAATAAACAAGACCTTCATCTTTACCTTTTATTGGTACTTTAATATTGAGATTTTTGAGGGGCCCCTCTTTGATTGGTTTACAGTCAGAAACATTTTCACTCAAAGTTTTCAAAATTGGATGTGAATTTTTAGCTTTTAGATAGATTTATGAAATATTTTTCATTTTGTAGCAAGTAGCACAACAACTTTCAGGTAAAGTACAACACAAAAAAAGGGAAATAAATTAGGGAAATACAGATGAAATGGATAGCTGTTGCTGTATTTTCTCTTTGACACTGACACTTTACCTGAATCAGTTTGAAGCCTTTAGTACTAAAAGTACACTGCTTTCCAAATAAATAGTTACTAAATACTGTAACATATCATTCTGACATGTAATATATTGACAAAAAGAATATATCTAATGTAAATCTCAAATGTTGTTTGATATTTCAGGGTACCGTTTGGAGAAGACCTTACATCAGATGTGGCTAACTGTACCATCAAAGTTCGCAATGCCAACCTGTTATGAGATTGTTTTATATTTTTAAACAGTTTGAATGAATAGATATTCACAAGTTTGGATGAAGCAATCCATAGACATTGTAAATAAAATACAAAATTTCTTTACTTCTCATATTAGAATTTTGTTACATGAAAAGTTTTTATTTCTTTTTCAATACAATGTTGTGTTTATATATAAACTCAGTGAGATATTTTTGATATTCTAAACTCAGTGAGATATATTTGATATTCTTATCTCAGTGAGATATATTTGATATACTAAACTCAGTGAGATATATTTGATATACTAAACTCAGTGAGATATATTTGATATACTAAACTTAGTGAGATATGTTTGATATACTAAACTCAGTGAGATATATTTGATATACTAAACTCAGTGAGATATATTTGATATACTAAACTTAGTGAGATATATTTGATATTAAATCTTAATATCACCCTGGTGACGTACAATTTTTTCATGTACAATGAAACCGTCTTACTTGTTCGTGACATGTATTGGTTTCATATTATGTTAGTATCGAAATAATAGAAGTTTTGTTAAAAGTTTGGTTAGACTGTTCTGTTAATGTTGCAACTAGTAATTGCATTGTTACTTCAAATAAAGTTGTGCGTTTTATTTATTTATTTTTTTATTGATTGATACACAAGTCATGTGTGCGTTTTGAAAGAATCAAAGAAAAAATAAAAAATGAATTCCAAACATTGTTATTGTGTTTTTTTATGCTCCCCGAAAAATTTCGGGGGAGCATATAGTCGGCGCCTTGTCCGTCTGTCCGTCCGTCCGTTTTCTTGTCCGGAGCATAACTTGAAAACCCTTGGAGATAATTTGTTTAAACTTCATACAGTGGTAGAGGGCATTGAGGGGGAGTGCAGTGTCAAAGAACCATAACTCTATTTTGCCCGGTTTTTGAATTATCTCCCCTTATAGAAAAATCTTGTCCGGGGCATAACTCTAAAACTATAAGAGATATCAACATGAAACTTTGTAGGTGAATAGATCTCAATGGGTAGATGTGCAGTGCATAAGAACAATAACTCTTTTTGTCCTAATTTTGGAGTTATTGCCCTTTGTTAATTTCAACACTTTGAACTTTGTCCGGAACATAACTCTAAAACGATAAGAGATATCAAGATGAAACATTATAGGTAGATAGATCTCATTGAGTAGAAGTGCAGTGCAAAAGAACCATAACTCTGTTAAGCCTCATTTTTGAATTATCACCCCTTATAGAAAAATCTTGTCAGGGGCATAACTCTAAAACTATAAGAGATATCAACATGAAACTTTGTAGGTGAATAGATCTCAATGGGAAGATGTGCAGTGCATAAGAACAATAACTCTTTTTGCCCTAATTTTGGTGTTATTGCCCTTAGTTAATTTTAACAGTGAACTTTGTCTGGAACATAACTCTAAAATTATAAGAGATATCAAGATGAAACATTGTAGGTAGATAGATCTAATTGAGTAGAAGTGCAGTGCAAAAAAAACATAACTCTGTTAAGCCTCATTTTTTAATTATCTCCCCTTTAAGAAAAATCTTGTACTGGACATAGCTGTAAAACTATAAGAGATATCAACATGAAACTTTGTAGGTAGATGTATCTCAATGGGTAGATGTGCAGTGCACGAGAATCATAACTCTTTTTTGCCTAATTCTGGAGTTATTGCCCTTTGTTTATTTTACTTTTTGAAGTTGTCCGGAACATAACTCGGAAACCATAAGAGATATCAACAAGAAACTTGGTTAGTTGATAGATAACAGTGATTAGAAGTGCAGTGCAAAGAATAGTAACTCTGCCTTTCCTAATTTTGGAATTATTGCACTTTGAACTTTTTCCATGGACATAACTCTGAAACTACAAGAGGTGTGCTTTCCTGTGTCCAAAACCTATTCGGGGAGCATCACCCGGCTCAAACCGGGCTCTTGTTTCATATATCATAAATTGTTAACAGTTCTTGCCAGAATTTTTCTCTCTAAGATTTCTATTTCCAAGACGAAATTAATTTGATGCAAGAAATAATAAAACCTATGCTTTATCAGCTTTAAGTATGCATGTACTGGCAAAGTTCTTGTGAGAACAAAAGTTAAATTCTAATGTGCATTTATGTAGCAGCTAAATATCTTAAATGAACTTTCAATCAAGACAAAAGAATTCATCATTTTTATGGAAAATTAAAAAAGTTCTGGGCTGCCCTTCATATAAAGTCTGAAATCTGTCTGAAGACCAAAACTCGGAGATAATTTTGTGTTTCAAAGAAAACATCCTTTACTGGTGGGGGAAGACCTCAGGTACACACCCCTGTGCATTTTTTCAGGCACAACAGTCACTTGAGTATAACCACACATTCCGTTAGCTAGGATAGCTTCCTAACATGTAAGAATCCAAGTCCTTGTTGGGGATTTGAACCCAAGTGAGGGGCGAACGGTTTGAATTTGACAACCTTAACCACTCAGCCACAGACAACCTAAGTTTAGGGTGAATTTTTCCCATAATCATTAGGCCTTAAATCAAGAGGCTAAGTTTTTTTCCTAATTTAAAGAGAAAAAACCCTGCATAGATGAGTATGATAACCATTATTTAGTCTTTTCTAAGAATAATTATAAAGTTAATGTCAATGATTGTATAAAACCTTTGAACCTTTTTTCCATAAAAAAAAAATATGCAGGTTTCAAGAAGTACTGAACAATGTTGTTTTACAAAGTCATCTTTTCAATAAAGTAACATTTTATTTACAAAAATGCATAAAATGAGAAGGTGAATCATGTACACAATTATTTATATACAATTTCAAATGCTGCCAAGTATTTCAGTTAAGTGATTTAAATCACACATGAAGTAACTGACTTAAAATCCTGAGGATAACAAAAGATCTTGAGAACTAAAGGTTTTAGAAATTCTTTACAGAAACTCCCCTTGCATTAATTAATTAGTAAATGAACTTGTCTCTTTCTTTTTGAATTTGGAACTGTCTGTAATTAATATATTAAAGCAGCACGCCTCCAGATTCATGTTAATTTTCATGAAAACTTTGGAAATGTATTGAAAAGTAAAATATTGTGAGGTGAACAAATAAAGTAATTGACATAATTGCAATTGCCATTTACAATCAAAGAAAATTACCAAAAAGTTGTCAACAAATGCAAAAATAGCTCTTACTGCATTAGTAACGCAGTAGAAATATGGTAATTATAAATAAAATACTGCGAAATCAGTCTTAAACCGCACATAACATGAAAAATATAACTTGGATCTTGAATGTTTTTCTCTTTCTTAAAATCTTAAAAGTACATTTTTCTCAATATTGATTTTCTTTCATCTGTAGGTGTGCAGCTTTAAAGGGACTCCACCAAGTTTCTTGAACTGGAAATTTTTTTTGAGATTTATAATCCATTTGAAGTAGTTCTAGACCAGTAACTTGTGTGCAAAATTTCAGATCATTTGCTCACTCCATTTTTCTAGAATAATTATTCTTATTGTGAAAAACGACCAAAAATTGAAAAGTGTTCACTGGTGCAATGCCTTTCACTTCAAATCTGGCTAAGAATAGCACAAAAATACAATTTTCAACTTATTTCTGAGTTTATTTCTTAATTATCTTTTGTTTATCTTTCTGTGCTGATCTACAAGTATGTAAGAAATTCAAATTCGATGGTTTTCGGCTTTTGGACCTATTTGGAGTTCCTTAATATGAGCATTGGATTCAAAAGTAGCAGTCGGGGCAGATCCCCTGTATTTTAATGCTTTTACAAACTATTTTTTCAAATACATGTTATCATTCCCATTGAAAAAAAAAGTTGTTTCAAATAAAAATTTTTTTTTTTTAAAAATTTTTAAACTGTCCCCAAAAGAATTTAATGTGTGATCATTTTTAAAAAATTTCCCCTAATTGATAAATGGAAAAAAAATTACCCCTTGTATGTAATTTAAATGGTGAAAACTAAATAATGTGATTGGTCAAATTTTCATTTAATGTAAGAATAATTTGAGGGAAAATTAGATATGAGTTATGTTTTTATATAAAACCCTACCAAAAAAAGATTTAAACTTTAAAGCCAAGCCAAATAATAAAAATTTTTTAAAGACAAAAATTATGAAAAAAGGGATTTGTAATGACCAGTTGTTATATTTCCATTCATCCCCTTTCCAGGTTTTGTGGTGAATTTTTAAAAAAAAATAACTCTCCCTTTCCACATCATTAGCAAATAGGAGAACGTTTCCTCTATTTTGAAAACATTTTAGAAATGAATGCACAGTTGAGCAATTGAGCTTGTTATCTGGTTTTTTTTGTGTGTTTTTTTTTTGAAACTGAATTTTTCTCACTACCCATACACCATTCATATGCTGTCACTCCAGTAATGATACTCATATATATATATGTAAGTCGGACCCACTTGTACGTCATGTTTTTTATTTGAATATCCCACAACAATTTTTACTTCTACAAAAACAAATTTCAGCCAGTGAGGTGAACACTGTTTTAATAAACACATTATTTATCCTTTTATCGGATGAGATCTTCTTTCAATATTACCTAACAGTAACTAGTAACACATGTTGCTTTGGCCTGAACTTTATCAGGTCTTTAGAAAGACTGGTTTATAATTGCACCAAGGATCTTCAACCATACTAGGTAGGTAATAGTCTTCAATGTTTAAACTGCCGCCAGCATTACAGTCAAAGGATGAATTCTGTGAATGAAAATAAATATTATAATATAACATACATGTTTGTTTTATAATATAAATATGATCATCACCGTTATAAAAGATATTTCTCTTGAATCTAGCTTTAATCCTTTATATATAGTGGAACCCCATTGTATCATGCTATTCATTGTATCGATCTATTTACAAATCTTTCGATTTTTTGGCAAAATGAAGTTGCTACTGATTGCTAACATTTACAAAAGAGTCACAAAAATATTTTGCATTTGTTTTGTGCCGTAAAAATGGTCAAAAAACAGGTTTCCAGTAACCGTCAGACTTTGTAGATAATAAATGGACTTATAAATAGTGTGTTCTTATTAAAAACACATTTACTGTCTGTTGAAAGTTCCTAAATTTATGCTGACATTTTAAAACAGACATCTTTGATTCTAATTGACTGAAAAATGTAGCATAAAGATGGGTCAGACTTCCAAAACTTTGACTTAAGAGCGATTCTCACAATGCATCGATATAATGGCGTGTCCTAATTCTTCAACCTGTTTGACATATATGTAAAAAATCGTATATTCCAAAGCTAAAAACTATATATCAGTGATGTTTGCCATGTAATATTTATGACAAAAGAATCAAAATAAATGATACAAAATAAAGATTCAGGGAAATTTAATGTTTTTAACTGCAGTTGTGATTTATGGGTTAATAGATCGATACAACGGGGTTCCAGGCTAATAAAATAGATGTCCAAATATTTTGATTCCTGCAGGAAAAAGTTTAAGACAAATGTTTAGTTTAGTGAAATACAAAAGGAGCTACTGTCTGATAAGTGTAGTTTGATTTAATTGGATTTTACATCACACCAACACAGTATATGTCATATGGCGAGTCCAGGATTTGAACCCACAGCGGTGAGGATCAAAAGGTTTGAAGTCAATGACCTTAACCACTAGGCCATGGACGCCCCTAGTCCTATAACTAAACATAAGACGTACATATTACTAACGGAAACGTCTTATGTTATAGGACTTGTATAGCCTAATTAATTTGGCGTGAACAGTTTGACCCATTTTACAAACTTTTTTTTTTCTTACTGTCAAAAAGACATCAGTTGCCCATCAAAAATTAATTATCTCGATGTCTCTTTGACAAGTCTTGTTAGTTGGACTACCCCTTGTAGAGATAACATTTGCTTGTCCCACTATGTTATGTCCAAGGATAAATTTACCTGTTGAAATTGTCTGTTGAAGGATTTTCTACCATTCCCCCTTCCACGGCTAGGTGAAAACTGATGTGGAGTTTTAAAACTACTTCCATCTCTAGAGAATCTATAATAATCATCCGATTGTTTATTACCCCCATAAGGTGAATATTGATGCGGGCTTTGTCCTCTGGGACTTCGCTGAAACGGACTCTGGTTGTGTACATGTGCACGCGGGGAATACTGTGTCTGTGGGCTAAAATGCCTTGGACTCGGAGTTGTGTTGTACCTATTTAGTCCAGGGTGACCACTGTTCTGCACAGCTGGTGCACCAAAGTTTACAGCTGGGCTGCCGAACGCAGGCATGTTTACCGCTGGACTTCCAAATGATAATGATTTTTTCATATTGCTGTTTGTGTCTGAGGATTTCTTTTGTGAGTTACCATTGTTTTTAAAACTGTGTGGTGAAGATGTTTTGTTTCTGTTCGACCCACCGTTATTGAACGGAATAAAATCCATTTTCTCTAAAATTCACTTGAAACTCACAGTCTATTTCAGCTAAAATGTGCGCAAACCAATTTAAGTATATCTCTTTGACAATCTGAGAATCATTTTATTAATTTAAACATTTTTTGGACAGAAATTTCAAACACTGCAAAAACGTTCACTCTGCTGGTATTGTTTTTTGTGCGCGGTAAAATTATTCGTTTCTCAATATTTTCGAGACCATATATTCCGTCCATCTCAATAGATAATAATTATAATATAAATGTCGTTTACCTTATTTCTTGAATCACCTCAAGCATGTTAATATTCAGCGATATGAAAATTTTTAGTCTTAACTATTCGGTAATTGGGTTATTGTAGCATAGTTTAATGATAATTTAGGCAAAATCACGGATTTATGTAGATATCTAATTAACCGTGTTGAAATTAATGAATTGAGCAAACGGTAGTTTAAACAATTTAAACATGCGTACATTGTACGTACACACACGGAGCTTTAATTATCTGTAATAAAAGTCTCTGTTGCAAATCAAAATTATAATAAAAAATATGAAAATAAAGTCTGAAATATTGCTTCTTTTAATTTTTTGTTTCCTATTTCTTGAAAATAATAAACTCTGTTCATGATACATGTATTTGTATATTAGAGGAAACTGCTGCATGTACATGTATTTATCACATAAACCGCGGCACAGGAGTGTAATAAAAACGATATTACACGTCGTCATTTGCGCGCTATATATAAACATAGCGTTTTAAAAGCGCGCTAGCTAATGTTAGTGTTACACTATAGGCGCGTCATTGAAAAATCACTCATTTTTAAAAGTTTACTGTTCTTATTTTATATATGTGATAAATAGAATATTATATTCGTGTAGATTCAATACTAAATTTATTGAACGAGTTGAATAAAATCATATTAATATGCGAGCCTCTGGCGAGCATAATATTGTTTTATTCAACTCGTAATAATTAGTATTAAACTACACTCATTCAATATCCTCTATATATGCAATATTATAGATATCTATACTATATAATTATACAGCTAGCTCGAGACATAGATCTGTGATACTTAAGTGAACACTGTCCAGTGCATAATGGATTTTGTTTACCTATACATAGTCCCGTTATATTTAATATATATTTGTAACCTCAACTGTTCATTCATTTAGTTGTAAAAGAAAGTAATTGATTTTGTAAACATTTTATACATGTATTAACAAAATATTTGCCGCATTTAAAACGATACATGGAATACATTTACACATTGTCAGAGAATTTTATTACAGAATAAAATTTAAAAGACATTAAGAACTTGTATATATTAGTTTGGCACATATTTAACTAGCATTGTCTCTTTTTGAATGGCCTCCGTGTAACAGTTCCAGGCCCGTGCTTTTGGCGCCAAAATCGCGATGGTTGGCTATGTCAAACTTGCTGTATGTCAATATCTTGCTGTGTGACCTCGGGCACTTATAAAAGCAGCTAGTGATTTAACCACCACCGGGGTAACAATAGACTAATATTGTCTTGCATTATATTATATATACATGTATAGATAATAAATCGATTATAAACTATTGATTTTTAGAATTTTATTCGGGTACCTTAATAATTAATACACAGACATACTTTAATTCTAGTAAATGTCCTAAAATGTTAATTTTATTCTTTTGGTCATAACTTAAAAAAATCAAAACACATTTTAAAAATTCGAAGGGCGGGGAAAATGTCAAAAAATTAACCATTTAGTTAGGATTTTCAATCTTTAATTATTTGAAAACTGTCTTCATAATGTCACAGACTAAAAGTGTAAAAAAACTAGCTATCTAAATATATTTTCAGATTTTTGCAAAGTCCTACGCAGTGTGCCCCTTACTTCGCTACACATGCTGATAACCGAAGCTCATGTTAAAACTACTTTGGGGTCACTGGAAATAAATAGAATATTACGTCGTTTTTGGTGTATAAATATCCTTATATTCTCATTTTTGTTAGGTACGTTTTTGTATGAGTACGATATTTTATACATTTCGTACCTATGACGGGAACCAGGTTTTACAGACGCCATTTTCGGATTAAAGAAATGTCGTTTATTAACCGGCAAATTTTCACAAAAGAGATGTACTTTTTATGACTATTCAACCAAAGAATATTAAACAAATGCTGCAAATTGCGGAGGTAAATATAATGTATTCAAAATACTGAAGCAAAATCTGCTACGCTGATAGATCTAGATCCTCTATTTACAAAAAAAAGAAAAATAAAAGAAAAAAATAAATAAAAAATTATATGGGCAAATTATATCAGGTGTCTTTATTTTATACATTAATAAACTGCAACTACGAAATGAGCCTACTATATAGAATACATACATTCCTTGCTAAGACCCTGGGTTTAATCCAGGATATTGGCAAAAGCACAGCAATCTATGAAATATATTATATGAGATACTGCATGCATGTGTAACTTGTTTGGGTAAAGTAGTCATATTAAACCAGACAGTCAGAGAGATAACTCATGATATTTCTATAGGGTATCACCATGTATACCGAGAATATGACTTATTATTTCAACTGCAAATTACAAACGGAAACTGATAATATTATATGTATAGATGTCAAAGGGCAGCCACAGGGTGAAAAAAATGTGCTGCCTGACCAGGAGGCGAATCCACATCAGTCATTCCGAAAGACCGTCGGCCCTGACCGGTAAAAAAACCAGAAGGTCCGATAAAAATATATGTATTGACGGCCCGACGGTCCAGTAAAAATAAAAAATTAAGGTTTTATAAAAATCTTACATTCAACATTTTGCAAAGGCCGATCATTTACCTAAATTCAAAACATATCAAAATGTTGTCATTACACAATATAAGCTCGTGCAATGCTTGTCAACTGTTATGCATTCTCATAATGCAAACTTTTATGTAACAACGTAAGATAAAAATATCCGACAACTAGTACAATTAAAAGTCAATAAGCGGCCGCATAAATTACATAAGCAGCCCAGATGTGAAAGGTCACCCGCTATTAGTTTGTTTACACAGATGAAAGTGTTAGTGTATTAACTGGAAAAATTTACGTCTTTAATCCACAGAGTAATGCTAAATTACACGTGTGCTCAACTGGTGTTTAGCAGCGAATTAGGGATATATGTAAGATCGTTCAAGATGTTGACGAAAATTAAACTGTACTGTGAATGTACCAAAATCATTGAACAATTAATCTGTCAACTTCACTAAATTACCAATATATATAATTCTATTTACATATGCCAGACTTTTGCTGAAATTTACCCTCTCATTTTGCTAGTATATAGTTTGTATGGAATTAAAATTTAAATAGCAAAATCCATTGAATACATGTATAACAATATTTATGTTTACATTTTGATTGTGGTGAAAAAAGATAACTTCACTTCGTTGATAATATAATTTTCTTTTTGTACACAAATTTTTTGACTGCTGACACTAATATCAAGTGACTCAAAATGCTATACCAATCAGGTTTTTTTCGGTCCAGTAAAATCCTGTTTGGTCCAGTAAAAATTCTCAGTTTACAGGACCTACTGTCCAGTAAAACTCAGAAGTCTTTCGCATAGACTGCTACATGCTATCTCCCCTAAATAGTGAACAGTTCTGAACCGTCACATAATCCCCTGCTATATTGAAATTCGTCCTCGAATGCCTAATGGGTACAGAGAATAATGTGAAATTAGACATAGAGTTTTTTTATTAAGATAACTAAGCTTGAAAATACATGAATTTGGTACTTCATTCAATTCTTAAGATAAAATATTGTTTATTTCTCTGCCTGCTTACACCAACAAAAAATAAAATATTGTTTGATTCCATATGTGCTACCGACCCACAAAAAATAGAAATCTGAATATATTGTTCATTTCCCTGCCTACTTCCAATTAAGGAAAAATTGTTTCCCTGCCTGCTTCTGATTCCAAAAAGATTAAAATATTGTTTGTTTCCCCATAGATTATATTATAGATTCTTTTTTCAATTTCAGTTAATACTTTGAAGTAGGAACCTTAAAAGTCCTTATGGAAACTGTACAGAAAAACTTTGTTGATGGGCTTCCAAATGATGATAATGGTACTAAGCTGAATGAAATACAAGACACAGCTAAGGACCTTGGTGATGATAAGGGTGATTTGAATCAAACAGATGTTGGGGAGAATGAAGTAACAAAATCAAAAGAAACTGAAGAAGTTGAGTTTGTTGGTGGTAGTATTAAAGAAACTAATCTTGATGTCCGAAATGACTCTCAATATTCTGTTCTTAAGAATGGTAATCCAAATGACGAAAGTGAGAGAGCTAATGATAAAATTGCTGCTGTATGTTCTTTAACTGATAAAGAAGTATGTCCCTTTGTTTGTGGTATATGTTCAGACAAGTTTGACAAAGTGTCTGCCTTCTATGCTCATTTAAAAACACATGACAATTTTGATGTTATTTCTCAGATGAACAAGAAGAATGAAATGTTAGAAGCACTGAATGTAAAGGATAAAGTGAACGAGAATGTATTTAAATGTGGTATTTGCCAAATTGACTTCCCTTCTATGAGTTTACTACATGAGCATATGGTTGTAGAAGAGAATATGCCTGATTATAATTACAGTAATGCTGATCATACAGCAAGACCAGACTCTGCTGCTACATCAAAAAGTGTCTCTGATTACAAACCTGAAAAATCTGAAAGTATTGTAGGTTCATCTTCAAACATTGGTAGAAGCAAAAGAAAAAGAAAATCTCCAGAATCTCCATTAAATGAAGGTGATGAAAGTGTTAGGTCTTATACTAAAAAGAAAAAGGTGTCAAGAAAGGGAATCTTAGAAAATGAAGAGAAAGAAATAGGTTCAGCCGTGGTCAAAACTCCTGGATCAAGTGGAAACTCTGTCGCTTTAACTAGATCAAGTAGAAGAGTGAGTGAAAGGGGATCTCGGAAACGTGTCGATTATAAAGCACTTGCAGGATATGGATCAACAAACAATGACTCTGATGATTATGATGAAAATGATGATGATAATGATGATGTTGAGAAGTCATCTAGACAATGCCATACTGACACCTCTTCAAAAAAGAACAAGTTAAATGATGATGATGATGATGATGATAGTACAAAGAAAGAATTGCGAAGTCTCCAGACTGTGACAAAAATGAACAAGGTAGACACAAATAAACCAGAAGATGAAGTAGATAAAGATGTAGATATGAATAAGATAAAGAGTAAAACTAAGATACATGTAACTTCAAACAAAATCAAAGTTGTTTCAATGAAAATGATAAAAACTGAGAATGTACCTAAAGATTCTATAAAGAATAGCCTGGAGAATAAGATGAGCTTAGAGGTAACCAATCAGGATCCAGAAAATAAAGAAGAAGAAACAGTTAGTAGTGAGGATGAAAAGGAGACAGTTGAATTTGTTGGAAACAAAAATTCAGAAAAGGAAGAACTTGCCTTTAAACCTGATGGAACTTATATTGATACTAACTCTGACTCTGAAATCATGTATAAAATTGAGGTAGATTCAGATTATGAGAACAATGCATCAGATGATGATAGTGATGATGATTTTATGGAAGAGAAAGATTATGAAGATGATGAAGTGAATGATCCCAACTTTATGCCTGAGTTAGAGACAAAAGATAAAGATGGTAATGTGATTGTGTCATTGATGGATACAAGTAACCCGGAGGAGTATTTGAAGAAGTTTAACGGGAAGAAGCGGAGTATTACTAGGACAAGAAATGGTGGCCAGCTTCTTAAGAATTGTTTGTATCCGTGCTCAATTTGCGGACGTTACTATTTATGGAAAGCTCTGAAGAAGCACATGTATGCACATGTGAAGGTGAAATTAATCGAGTGTTCACAGTGTGGGAAGAAATACAAAAGTGACAGACATCTTAAAGATCACATACGATCTGTCCATGCCATGAAGAAATTCAGCTGCCCCAAATGTGACAGTATTCTGAAAGGGAACCAGAGTTTTGAGAAACATGTAACAATGCACATCTTGAAGAAAGAGATAACAGTGGCATTGGACGAGGTGGAGAAGAAAGAGGTTTCTGAGGAAGAGTATATCAAATGGAAAGGCCAGCAAGAATATGTAGCAAGTGAAGCCAATAAAAAGAAGAAAGAAGACAAAGTGCAGAAAGATTTGGAAAGGCAAAGTGTGGAAGATGGGATCGATATTAGCCTACTGAAAGACGGTCCTTTGTATGGTCAGCACATTGTGTTACAAGCTGATGTGGTCGGCACGACCAAAAACCAATTTTGTAAAATCTGTAAACGAAACTTTCCAACACATGAGAGTTTGGTACAGCATGTTTTAGAGCATAATGATGAAAAACAATATAGTTGCGGTATCTGTAAAGGTTTTTTTCAAACCCAGGAACATGTTGATACTCACATGGTGAATGTCCATGGTGAAAGGGACATAGCTTGTGATATATGCGGGGAGAGATTAAGAAGTTCATATGCATTGTGGTCGCACAAAGGAAAGCACTTGATGAAGAAGGATGAGTATTATTCCGAGGAAATTGTTCAAAAGTTACAAGAAGAGATTGCACAGAGAAAGGCGAGGAAAAAGGCAAGGCGTTTGAAAGAGAGCTCAAAGGTTTGACAAAACTTTGTTAAAATATTTAACTTATGGTTAGTGATCTACTAAATGGAAATGACTATTGATTTATAAGAGGCTTCACTTAAAAAAAATAGGTTTTGTATTTTTTTTTCCTATAAACTTTTTTTATATGTTTAAACCTGCATTTACTTCTTCAACATTTATAATATTATTCCTGTCTTATATTGTCTGTATTATAAAACTCTATAAAGTACTTACAAATTAATTTATACTGACACTTGAAGTGACTTTTCTTCAAAATATTTGATTTTTCTTAAAAATGCTTTGCTAAGATTGTTCATAAAGCTATAGTTTCACTAACGTTATTTTAGAAGTGCGAGATATGTGGTATGGTGGTGCTGCGTATCAGGTATAAACGTCATCTAGAAGTGCACAATACTACCAAGGACTGGCAGTGCGAAATTTGTCATAATTATTACAAGACGAGGCGTTACCTCACAGATCATATGAAGAAGACTCATAATGCTACAAAAATACCATGCGATATATGCGGATTAAAGTTTAAAGGTAAGCTTGAAGTAATCACTTTATGAAACTCTTAAGGTTCGTAGAATGTTTTTCTTCAAAATGAAATTTTATAAAGTGGTCATTAAGAAATTTTGTTAACGGTGATGTGTTTCTTAATATTATCTTTAAAGAATTATATGGAGCCGCCTTGACGCATTGGTGAAGGTCACCTAGGGAGTTCTGATTTTTTTCATGTGGGGAAGCTATCCAGCTAGCTTAGTAACAAAAGTTATGTTGTTATTAACATATTTTTATTTTTTTATATTGAAGGAAAAACTTATCTAGAAATTCATAGGCAGACACACGGACCGAAAGACAAACATTGTCCAATTTGTGGTAAAGGATTCACAACTATGATGTACCTGAAAACTCATCAGCTTACACATGAAGGTTGTACATTGATTTCTTTGTATCCTAGCAACAATATTGACTTGTTTATGCCACCAGTATAAAGCTACATGTAGGGCAGTCCTACACATGACTTCCATCTGCAGTCTGGCAAGGCTTCATATTGTCTGTGGCTTAATTTTATTACTTAAATATTAAACCCCTGGGATTTGCAAATTACAGTAATGCAGTACTATTTTACATACTCAAAATGTAAATTGACATTATGCTCATTTTTTCGTTGCCAAGTTGAGGTGAATTAGATACATATTTCAAAAGTTTGACTATTTTAATGTTGATTGACCAAATATTGATAATTACAAATGTTTTAGGGTAAAATGTTCAACTGCCTAAAATGTAAAAAGACTGCCTCCTCTCTTTTTATAAACTAAATCATACTTATACATTCTGATATATGTTTTTTAGAAATTTCTGTGTGTCATATGGGTTAATGTGAAGAATATGACATTGGAAACAAATATGACAAAATGTATAACTAATTTTAATCTTTACCTGTACCCTCAGCATTTATACTTGGATGGGCATAATGTCACTTAAGGGTTAAATATAGATCTCATCATATGAGTGAGAGACATTTTTTGATTAAACAGTATATATATATATCTATTGGAATTTCTGTATCCTAGAGTATTTAAATTTAGGGGAGAGATGTTTTGATGATAAAGACCTCTCAAACCAGAGGTTGAAGAATTGAGACATGCTCTGGTCACAACCATGTTTTCTGATATGATACCAGTACTGGTTAGTTCCAAGATTTAGACTCGACACTGGTTCAAATAAGCTACAAGTTTTCTTCACAAACGAGCTTATATAATAATATTTAAGCTAAAGTTATTCGGATACATATATTATTGAATTTAATGATTAAGCGAGGCTTACCTTCGTAGAAGTAAGGTGAAGATTGATCATAATTTCATCCGACACAAAACTCCCTAAGGGCTCACACAGATTACAGACGCAGCGATCAGCGATGTGGAGTGGTCATATTTTAAAGTTTGTATCTTATGTATAAGATGACAATATTTAAAGAAATCCGTTTTGGGTGGTAGTGGGCGGGCGTGTGAGCCCTTAGGGAGTTTTGTGTCGGATGAAATTATGATCAATCTTCACCTACTTCTACGAAGGTAAGTCTCGCTTAATCATTAAATTTATCATCAACACATAAACTCCCTTAAAGGCCCCACAGATTGTTCAGAGAATTTCTGATAAATATTGTAAAAGGAAAAACGAGTACGCCAATAATAACAAGAAACATATGTATGGCTTACTAGTTACTACATATTATTATAAACTAATATCATGCAATGAAATATACATGTATAGATAACTGGGCGATAACTGTATTGTGTAAACATCATTATGTATTTACTATTGCCCGTACTTAATATCTGATAAACATGAATGAGATTCATTCTAGAACAAAATTTTGAGTTTCAGTGGTAAGAATCTGTCTTTGAATAATATTTAGCAAATGTCATTTGCTGTACTCCATCCCGCGGTTTTAATTATGTCAGATAAAGGGATTCCTTTATAAAAAGCATTTGACGTCGATGCTGATCTTGTACTATGAGGTTTGAATGTGTCAGCAAAGGCCTGCATTTCATCATTGTTAATTATTAATCCATCGTGCTATTGTTTGTTTGGAAACCTGTTTATGTGGTTTTACTGTGGAAATAATAAGTGACTCACTCATTCTATTCTTAAATGTTCACTATCTAGCGATATATTCATTTAAAGTTGTTACAATACATAGATTTTTAATTTATACGGCTGTAAAAATTATCGGTTCTAAACTGAACCCTGGTCTTGACTGTTTCAAAGAGTTTGATATTTGAATGAAAATATTTTCACCTACTCTTTTAATGTCAGATAATTTTATAGTATGCAAAGTCTGGCATCTTTGAGCCGTAACAAGTAAAAATAGCAATGCAAAAATTTACAATAATGATAGAAAGGATTAGTATCCATCTTTTTAATATTTTTAGAACGTTTTTACGCCCATGTTCTTTTTATGTCCCGGGGGGGTGTTTCTTAAAAACCCCCTTCAAAAACACGGAATTATTTTTTTTCATGTTTTTTACGACCAAAATTCTCAAAAAATTAAACAAACTAAACGTCTGGTTTTGCAAGAAACTCAGCCTTTGTTTGGTAAAAAAACAAAAAATTGAAATGTTTTATTGGGAATTTAAGGGATTAGTTCCTTCCACAGAATTAAACCCATTTTTTAACTATTTTTACTTTTTCTTGTTGCTTTTTCCAGGACTGTATATGATGCTCGAGCTCTCTCGTTCCCTTCCCTTCGAAAACCGCCCTTATATCGAAAAGAAATTCCTTTTTAAAGGGGATGTTTTGATTTTTTTGGTGTTTTAGTTTCAGAATTTTTTCCACTTTTGGGAGAATCAAGCATGGACCTTTTATCAATCTCATTGAGGAATTGGCCACCACGTCTGGGTAGGCCAGATTGGTGCTATCAAAATTGCTTTTCCGTGCGGGTCTCTTTCTATCTTTTGAAGGATGCGTGCTATTCAAGCTGAAAGGTGGAAATATGTAAAATAAATTATCACACCACTTAAATGTGCTGCATCTACTGCATAGCGGATGGATCGGATATCGCGAAACTACTTTTTTAAGTTTTGATTCAATTTTGATGCAAATAAATCAATTTTAATGTTCTGGTGATGTTTTAAGATTTTATTCAAAAATTCCTTGTCTCCAATTCAATATCATCATTTCCAGTTCTACTAAGTTTGTCAGCGTGTCTGTTCGATACGCCAGCAATATGGGGCTCCGTAACATAATATTTTTTCAATGCACCAGAACCATATTCTTCGTGCAATATCGTCGAGAGCTCGAACCTGTTACTCCATATCTATTAATGTACGACGAACACATGTTGTATTGTCCGTATACAATTTCACAAGTTAATATTTTTAGAAATTTAACAAAAGTGCGTAACGCCCAATTTCACAAGCTTTCATTTCTAAAATATTTATATGAAGTTTTTGTTCTTCATGCACCAAAACCATTTGATTTTTGACCGTTATTGTTTCATTGAATTCCCGAACATTTTTAATGCAAGCGTCAGTGTAATAACAGTGTTCGCTCTTGCACAAAATATTTTTAAAAAACTAATCTGTATATTTTCTATCCACCAAGTAAGGTTGTATGTATTTACTGCGGTACATTCATGAAATTTTCGAAATTTCCCTTGTGAAGTTTTAATTCATTCTTTTTTTTTTCAAGCGGTCGGATATATAGTGGTGCATGTTTAACTTCCCGGCTCAGCGCCGTGAGTTTCCCGATAGTTTTAGCCAAAGACACGAAATTTTTGATTCGTTTGGTTGTTTAGTACTTTCGAACAAAGGTTTAATTATACTTCCCCCTTTTCAAAATGTTAGTTTAACTGTCATGGATTCAGAACACAGTATAAGCCTAAAAAATAAGCTTTTTACCGGTTCTAGCACCCGACTTTTTCTATTTACCGTTAATCGGGTTTATCCTTTAATGTGACAGTTTCGTTCACATTACGCATTACATGGACTGATAAGGAATCTCCTTACTAGCCAAGAATCATCAATGAAATAAACACTAACATGGACCTAATGGACCGAAAGATAAGCGAACACAGTTTCAGTATAAATTTGTGAAATTCGAGGGCTGGATGATACCCCATAACTAATGCTGTAAATTGATATTTTATATCATTGAAGGTAGAATCGGAAATAACGCCGGTCCTGTTCTCTAATGGTTATGGAGTAGAAAGCATCTGCTAGGTCAACTGAGGCCATTAAAATAATCTTTTCTCATAGCGTTAATTGCAGATTTAAGGGATTCCATTTTAAAGTGATGTTTTTTCTATAATATAACTCATTAAAACTGTTTTAGGTTCAAAATTATTCGTACACGATCATCTTTTTTTAGGTCTTTATAAAAAATGTTTGATATGAATTCATTATCTAAATTATCTTCCACTTTCTCTATAACTCCAATGTTTAAAAAATCTATTAAGTTCGTTCTCAATCTTTCTTTTTCCTCTTTAGTAAATTAATAGGTTTAGGAATAATTTTTTGCTTTGGAATTTCATTTAATTCAACTGAACAACCTCTAATGTTATTAAAATCCACTTGTTCAGTTGTAATGGTTTTCCATATCTATATTATCAGCTGTCTTACCGGATAAAAATTTTTGTTGGTTTTGGGCACTTATATTTTTATTTTACTTACATTTATTATTTTCTCCCCTTTTCCCCTTTTTTGGTTTATTTAAAGTTGGGGATGCTGTGTTGTTTCCAAAAATAGTTTTGTTCGTGGAGGGGAAGCCGGTGTGTTTTGGATAACAAAACTTACATTCTTTGTAAAAAATGAATATATATTTTTTCGTACCTGATTAAGTATCATATTTATTTTGTGTTTTCTATCATGTGACTCGTGATATTGTCTGTTATCTATAGCTGGCATGTACTACTTTTCAAAAAATTAAAAAATTTGCTTTCTGTTCATATTTATTTTAATTAATTTATGGTTTCAGAGAAAAGAATTTCCCTTTTACCAATGCTGGGTCCCTTTTGCATAAACAGAATTACCATCCATATGTGGAGACATGGAGAAGGAGCGAGTCGACCATGCAAATACTGCGGTGATTTATTCCCGTCACGACAGAAGGCCCGGAGACACGAAAGAGTTATCCACGAAGGTTTCACTGTGCCGACTAAACTTAAGAAAAAGCCAAATTACTATAATGTTGTTAATATTGATAACACCGACAATGAATCTTTAGAACGGAAGATTGTGAGGCTAATGCCTAATACGTCCGGATACGTATCCGTGCCTGGCGGAATGATTAAGGTACCGATTGCGACAAACATACAAAATACGGCATTGGTAGTATGATACAATTCCTTTTCAGGGGAAAATTTTTCGTCTGATTGAATATGACGGCAATTTATCAAATGAGAAAGGTAACGAATCAAATTTTTGATCAAAAAAGCGGAGGGAAAGTTTCATAGAATTCGTGGAATTTGACAAAGGGAACGAACTTAATTCGGAAGCGGATAAATAAT